ATTCTATCTATCCATTATATAATAACAGTCTAAATTGCAGCGGTCATCAAGTGGTTGCATCAACTGGTGGAAAACCAAAACCTAAAGTTGAAATGATTTTTCGTAGCATTGACGGACGCCCTCTACGAGCTGCTAAATTTGGTGATATCGTTGAGTTTTATGTTGCCCTTTCACCGGACAGTAAGTTGATGATTAAATTTGAAATTTGAAGATTCTAATAATTATTATTATATATAAATATATGCACTGTCATTATTATTATTTTTATTATTTTTATTACTATTGACATATCACTGAATTTGAAGTGCATTCTACGATTTACAGGAATTTAAACTTAAATATACTAAAGTTATGTAAAATTATTGGTTAATTCAAACAGTTCAGCATTGATTCATGGAGCTACAAATAAAATGATTTCAAAGATAGCAAAATGAAAGGATCAGCTGTTCTTTGTGATAATTTTCAGAAGCTTACCATGGGATTAGTCCCAAAGAATGCATGTTTTCTGATCGAGAGGATATGTCATCACCTGATGCAAAGCATTTGACCTTCGTCCAAAGCAGGTTAACAACATTCGCAAGTTTTGTTGTATATATGGTTTGAAAATAATAAATTATTATGATAGTCTATGGTAATTCGCAAATTATATGCATACCAAGATTTAAGTTCGAACCATTAATACCTTTCATTTTTCATTTAAAAGTAATGATTGATAATAAAATCATGGAAAGTTTTAACAAATTTCATTGATTAATGTAATGATTGATAATATTTATGAACTCTTGTACGATTTTCAGCTGCCCGGTAGACGAAATGAGTGAAATCATCGATCCGCTGGCAAACGTCAATGAAGAGGTATATTTTTCAAAATTTAAAACATTCCGCTTTGGTAATCAATCGACAGTATTCGCTCATTGTACCGTCCAAGTATGCCTCACTACCGAAGAATGTGCACAGGTATTAATTATTACACTTCATAGTAAAGGCGGCATTTGTTTTTTAAAGCTTCTGAACAATTTTATCTGGAATTAAAAAATCTCATGAGACGAATACAGTTAAGATAATGAAACTTCGACTTGAATTTATTCAAATAATTAAATGATCGATCTACATAGTTAATAACAGTAACGTAATGTGTAAAGATGTTTTATACTAAATTAATTTTATTTTGGAGAAAAAATTCTGAATTGTGAAATTGTAAAAAGAGATTTGTTAAAGCTCAATAGATATTGAAGTATAAATTTGTTAATTATCATCCCAGAAATGTTTCAAACGAATCAGTAATTCGAATTTAACTGCTGAACGATTACGTTTTCGACATAGACGTCAACTGGAAAATGATTATGATGCTACAGTAATTCGTAAACAAATTGATATGAATGAGATTGCATTAACACGTCCATTAACCATTTTGGATGATATGGAAAGCAATGAAGGTTCCAATACTTCATTTTTCTCTCTTCTAATTTGCAAAAATAATTTGATAAAGATTTTCTGTTTACATTTCTTCGTTCCTTTGAATCTAAAAATGTAAAGTAAAACAATTAAAATGATTCGATCGTTTAAAATCACTTCAATTGTGTCATTTCATAGTTTATACAAAGTAAATAATTTTCCTTACATTGCTAAATGAAGAAAAAAATTAACTAAAACAATAACTTTAATGTTTTAAGATATTTAATTTGCATATTATGAAATTAAATCACTTGGAAATTTCTATGCTAATCGAATATTTCATTATGCGTTTTTTCAGTAAACGTTAAGAAAGTAGAGCAATGTCTTATTAACAACTCTGTCATACCATTACCAATCCTTATCCTCATCTTATCACTCTCAATGTTATCAATTATTTGTCTCATTGGATTGATATTTACTTTGAAACGATTAGCTACTTACAAAAAACTCGCCCCATACAGTTTTGGAATATACGGGTAAGTTATATTACAAAAGATTTCGATTTTATCATTATCACTGTCACATTCAGAATTGTTATCAATTAGAAATTTAATGCCATGTTAACATTTTGATTGTTCAAAATTTATTGATAAAAACCTTGCCATACTGTAATTCGTGTTAATAACCTTAAAATTTTCATTCGGCAAAAAAAGGTACAGAAAAATTATGCAAGTCAGCCATATTAAAGTTACAGTGTTGAAAAAAGGTAAATAATTTTTGAAACTATTCTTGGCTATTAATTACTTAAAATTATTGGGCCACATTTACAGTGCTTATTCTGGACCAACAGCATCACTTCCAGTACGTTCTCTAACCGAACCAGCGGTACGTAATTTATCTAATAACAGTAATCGAACAGCTTTGATGGATCAATTGTCGGCCCGAATTGAATATCCATACGTTCGAGAAATGTACTGATAGATTTAGAAGCCTCAACATCATCACCTGCCTAAACTCTTTTATTTAATTACCTAATTATATATGCTTATAAAGATATAGCATGAAAAATGACCTGAAGGAATATATTTATTCAATTGAACTTCCAATTACAATTCACCTCATACCTATCAATTAGGTGATAAAACAGTGTCAAAATTGGCAAACGTAATTTTTTTCAAGTATTAATTACTTTCCATTATAGAATTTCATACAGTTTCTTAAGAGATACAGTATAGGACGTTATATTTATGTTGCTTTCAGTGTACACTCCTAAAATGAATAAATTACTTTATTTATCAGATCATCTTGTTATCATTCTGAGATCAATTTTTTTATAAAAGCAAACTTAATCCGTTGCATTGTTTGTTTGTTAATCTTTCGCTCTATTAACATTCATCATATATATATATTATCCTTAATTCATGCTTTCCGATTGTTGAATTACCTGTTCACTGTTCTCCTTATGCTTATCTAAATATTATTTACTCCCAAATTTGCATATTTATTTTCTTCCAACGACTTTCCATTTCAGTTTAATGAAAAATTTGCAGTGATTCATCCATTCTATTTATACTTCTTTTGATTCATATTCATTAATTTGAAGTTTTATGAAGAAGGAAACAAAGGCCAATGGATATGGATGGGGTGATAAGCAAATGATTAAGATTAGCAGATTATTAATAAGTAACGCATACACGCCTAATTAGTTGAAATAATTTTATAAGAAAAAAGAGTCTTTTCTCTTTGCTCGCTTTTACATTTATTTACAAAAATGTTTATTTATCTTAAACTTTCACAAACGAAAAAAATTTCTTCTGATCATTTCGTGTAAATTTATTTGCTAATTAAAAAATAAAAAATAAAAAACAACTATTCTTTCCACCTGTCACCTGTTAAGCGCGAATTTTATTTAATCATTGTGATCCAATTACAAGGAAAGGAACTTTCTTTTTGCAAAATATTTTGCGTATACTAGAAATATTGTACTTATTTCTCCAATAACATTCTGAGTTAGGTGTCAATTACTTAAATTCAAAATATGTACAGATCCGTTTTATATTTCATTTCAAATTGTTCTTATCATTGTTTATCAATGTTAAAAGCAAAAAATGATGTAAAGTAATATTCTGAGAATATTAGATTGAAATTACTCAAATGGTTGAATAGGAATTTAAATTTTTCTATATAACAAGAATAACAGCGATAATTTTGCCAAATCGTTCGTATCGCTCGATAACTATCGCAACTATCAAAGTCGCATTCAGGAATAATATCAGAGTAATCGGTATTCGCACCACAAAACATTTTAATGAGTATAGTTACAGGAGTCAACATACGTCTTCCAATATGCCATTAATACATATATATAGATAGATGGATATATATATATGGGCAAATATTTTAAAACGTAATAAATTTTTACAGATGTTACAGTGTGTGCAAAGAATGGGTAAGACAATCAACTCTGGATATTCTTGTTTTTGTTATCAGTGATTTTATCAACAGATCAGAAGTGTAATAAATTTTGATCCTTTACGATGCAACATGTATGCGATAGTCAGCTTCTTTCTTTAATAACATTTTTTAATTTCAATGTTAAGACTTAGTCGAACAGATTAGCATTAAAATTATTTCCTTTCTCGTCTTTAATCAAGTTCCACTGTATACTTATTGTTGCAAGCATGGGATTTCATTGTGATCGGAGAACGCCAAAAAGATTAAAAAATGATAGGCTTAAAAAAACTGTTCATAATGCATGTTCAAAAATCTCATTTCTTGTAATTCTCAATGATTTATTTTTAAAGATGAAAAGAGAAGCAAAACTTTTATATATACTAAATAAGTCTAACATAGCACGCGAATAAATAATATAAACATCAAGAACTTTATTACTGGATCTCGAGTTAAAATCCAATCTTTGTTCATGACATTTCAGAATGAAATAACATTTCATCAAAACTTAAATATAGAGAAACATATGGTGAGAAATTGTAATAATACGTAAGGACGAAATAATAGAGAAAAAATTAAAATCAAAAGGTAAAATCTATGAGACAAATAAACATGTAAACTGGTAAAACATCCGGGAATGAAATATTAAGAGCAGATAGAAAAATTCTGTTCATTCTTAAAAATTAAATCAAATTGTAGCAGTAAACCATCCGTCGTCATTTTCTAATTACACATCGATATAATAATCACTGTTCTCTTCTTCCAATCATCAGACACATCATTCATTATTATATTGAAAAGTCAAGGCATTATCTTCAAGACTGAAGTCCGATGATATAAGGAACAGGATTCACTTTCTACGAAAGATGAATTTCTTCACAGTATGTAAAGATTTAAGATTTTTATGGAAAGGCATTTGAGAAGATAATGATAACTAAAGCAGAAAAAACTAAACAGGAAACTAAGGAGCTGCGCACGTCTGTTAGCATTTAACAGTATTCTAAATAATGCACTATGTATGAACAGGAAAAACTAACCATGGAAGTGATTAAAAACAATCAAAATTAATCCTTTTGAAATAAAATAATACAATAAAATCATTTCGTAAAAAGGAATCAAGACTATTCCCGATTCTTTTTTACTGAATGATTTTATTATGTTATTGGACATAATTCGTCGCTTATTTTTCGATAAACATTTTCCATCTGTTTATGACATTCTTCACTTATACTTTCAATATCGGAAAATCTTGATGGGTCGATTGCAGGAAGAATTTCGATTATTACCCGACCGCCGTAGTCAAACTTATAATCAGCCTGAAATAAAGAAAAAAATTTTTAAGGATATTGTAGAATTAATACAAATGATAAAGTTATTACAATAAGAAATTTCAGCTAATTACAAAAACATGACATTAACAGGATAACAGAGTTTAAGTTTAAAAAATTAAATGTAAGATCTTACTTTTCGATAAAATGATTGATACGATGAAATTACTACTGGGAGGATTGGAACCTGCAAAAGTATAATTAAGAAGTAATGCAAGAGAATCGGTAGTGCTATTAACTTGAAAACTTTCCTATCTTATTCACTCTCTGATTAAATAAACTTTATTTAAACCACTCAGAAAAACTACCTATTTTATCAATTCAAAAAGACGAAAATTGTGAGTGACATACATTTGCTTCACGCGCTATAATGAAAGCGCCTTTTTTAAATGGCAGCATTGTACCACTGGAGTTTCTCGTTCCTTCCGGGAATATCCATATCTTTCTCTAAAATTGCATATACTTTTCTTTATTATTTTTAGAAAATAAAGACCAGCAGAAATTAAAATTAGTCCCCCTCACTTTTCCCTGTTCGCACTTACACCTAGCACTAAAGAAAAAAAGAAGAGAAAGAAATGTCAACGAATTTCAACGATATATTCGATACGAGCTCGAGGTGAAATAATTATGAAAAAGAATTATTTTTTCTAACAATGACAGTTTCTGAGAGTTAGCAATAAAAAGAACTTCATGCCGAAAGTGAAACAATACAAACACTTACATAATTCCGTATTGCATTGATTGCTTGCTCAACTGATTTATGCGCAGCGACTTTGCTGAATCTGTTTATAAAAATAGCTTCACAAAGATAAGCACAAACATTGAAGCCGGGCACAAATTTCAAACTGCTCTTCAACAAAACAACGCAGTTTTCGGGCCAAACATGAGTTAAAGCTGAAAAATATAATTTATGCCGCATTTATACATTATTGAAAAAAATATATCATCTACTTTAAATGATAAAGATTACTTGCTACCTAGTAGTACATAATCTAATCGAAATCATTTGCTCGAAGCGTAATCCTAGGATGTTAATGCTATGTGTGGGCCTGACCCCTTAGATTTCCAAATGACATCAGCAACATGAGAATTGCACGGACTATCGCCATACAGCTTATGTCAAAGAAAGAAACCAGTATTGGTTTTCTTGAACATTCCGATTTTAACTTGCAAAAACATGGCCTTTGAAATACAGTAGAATATTAGGGATCTTCATGTAACCAATGACTTTTTCGTCAACTAAAACTTGGCCTACTAAGATGGGCCTGAAATTAAATTCTGAAATTAATTTCTCCAATTCTAAGTCCAAGTGTTACTCTACAATTTTTACACTTTACTTATCGAAAACTAATTAATTTCAAATGACGAAAAAAAGAAAAGAGTTATCAAGAATAAATCACACTTAAAACATCTAGTAAAGTTTGATGATTTGCAATAATAATAAACGAATTATCGACTTCGATAAAATTCCGATTGCGTATTTCGTAAGATATGCCACACCAAAATGTTAATAATTGAAAAGCGCGAAACGTATGCCTAAAATAGTGTGATTCATATACATATAATTCTCGCAGTTCGCTAACGTCAAATTTCTATGACTCTTGTTTCTGATGTCATATTTTATCGTATAAATAAAAAACAGTGCTTTCCAGAGTTCCCTGAAACTTCAAGGTTTGATATTATCCAGTCAACATCATTATCACATCGAGATGAAATGCTTCAATTATGTAAAGTAATTCAAATTAACAATAGTTTACAATAATATAACGCTAAAGGTTAAAATTGCACAAACGATTTCTATAAATACATCGAAATTCTGCAAATTTACATACTGCTTATGAAATCTAAGAAAGAGGAATGAAAAAGAAAATAACTGTTAAATGTTATCACCCTACCAGTGTAACAAAAAAGAGAGATATTCTCCATTAAGGAAAAAAGCTTTTTCTCGATTCCACAAGGTCTTGAAACTACTTGAGCTGTCATCAAATATCTCATTATTATTCTCATTATTATTCTATGTTTGATTTCTCTGTCTACTACCGTAAACTGAACAGAGGCATAAACTAGACTTATTGAAAAGTTTATTTTGAACTACCTCAGTTTGATTGATCAAATTTGATTGATACATATCAGATAAATGAACACAGAAATAAATATTAGTAAAAAAAAGATTTTATATAAAAGCATCAAAAGTAAAACAGATGTTTACCAATGATTTTTCGGTGTCCTTCCATTTGGCAGTGATAGACATGTACCAATTGTTCCAGCGATTATCAGACAAACCGTATAAAGGACTACTTTGAAGTAATACCTGAATTTTGATGAAGTAATCCATAGAGGACCAAATGCAATGCAGATGAAAATCAGGATATGCAGCACATTTAATTCATTTTCCATATTCTGCAGTAAAGAAATGCAAAAATAAATAATGATATTATCTATCCCATGATAATCTATAGGACGATATCAGGCGCAAAGAACAGAAAGAGACGATTACAGAAAACAAATCAGATAAATGTTAACGAAATTAGACAATTACGCAATCATAAATGAGTACCGAATTAATCAATTATCAAATTTATTTGGGTAAAAATTATTAGTTTTGTTAACTGGTGTCAGTTTCCTCCTCGTCTTCTTTTAACTCTAATAAAGTTTCAAGGGAATAAAAACTGAATAACAGTTGAGTAAAAGTAAGCATTGAATGTCTTCTCAATGACTGAACTTCTATTGGGTTTTGTTTTATTATGTAAATTAATTTATTATAGTAAGTCGATAGCTTTGGCAATAATATTGGCTATGCTCTGTTTTGATGTTTTATTTTATTGAGGAGTTTCACCACATTGATAACAATAGTTTGGTTTATTATCGATGTGGGTATTTTAATGATAGCATATTTTGTTTGATTATGATTATAATTCTAGATTTTCTAGTTTTCTTCTTTCTTGAATATTTGACGTTGAATTGACATAACTCTGTATATTATGCGAGTGTTTTGCTTTTATTTATGGTTTGGTTTCATATTATCATTCATGCTTTCGCTGATTCTTTTCTTATGTCTTTGTTGATTTTCCGATTCGAAGTAACGTAAGCTATGTTTATGATGATCGCAGGACCGTTTGTTTGCTTTTCATTTTTATGATATTTAATTTTTTTGTTTTGTTTTCATTATTTAATATGAATGTTTTTTTTTGTGGAATAGCTTTTGGCAATGTTTTGAAGCAAAGTATTGTTAAAACTGTCAATCTTAAGACTACTAGTATTTATTATATTATTTTGGACTGGACTTTGTGGATCTTTATTGCCCATGATTATTCGTTTTGAGTTGTCTAGTTCTGATAGTTATTAGTTTTTGTTCTTTAATAGCGATCAAATTTGCAATTCAATTCTTAATGATAATTCTTTTGTAAGCATCACCTTGTGGTAGTAATATGTACTAAAAATACGGCAGATGGCGATATTGACAAACTGGATCGGTAGCGCGACTTCTATAATGACATTAACATAATGTATCCGAACAACGTACTGAATTTATCCCAGTAACTTTCCTTTTGTTCCATCTAAAAATCACATTAATTAATCCATGATTTCTTCTGTCCAAATTCTATTATATTTTTGATAATATACAGAATAATCAAAAGATAATATATAAAACATGGATATTTCTTCACTCTCTTCCGTTAAACAACTTATCATTTTTGGGATTTTGTTAATCAAATACTATCAATATTGTAATATGAAATACTTAGAGATATATAAAAGGATATAATAAAAGAAAGAAGATAATCTATGCTACGAATATGTGTCACCGTCACTCCTTATAGGTCAAATTTATTTCAAAGATAATCATACTTAAAAAATCATGAAAAAAATATTTTAAAATAAACCAAACGTCAAATGTCCGCTAGAACATCATTCGCATAGTAATAGCTATAACTACTAAACGTCGGTCAGCCGTCAAATACTCAGCACACCTAGGTAAATAGAAGGTGAGCGGTAAGTGACGGAATAGCAGTCTTTAAGGAGTTTCGATTTTTTCTGAGTACTAGAAATAGTATAGATCGATTAGTCTCAGAATTTAGGTCAATCTTCACCTGCTTAGTAATTTGTTCAATTATATTACATGTGATCATGCAATTGCATATTAACAGTATTTCTCTACCATTGCTGAGAAGATATGGAATCGCAAGTTTTTAAAGAATTCGGGTGAGGAACCATTCTTTCTGTCTTGATAATCTCTCTCTTATTTCATTTATTTTCTTCTTTCCTTCTTATTAAGCAGTACCGAACGAAATTGAACAAAACATATGCTTTGGACAGAGTATATCAACACGCATAAATAGCCCGATTATTCAATTTTTTCCCGGGATGAAAGCAAGCATTATGATTCAGTGCAGAAACATTCTACTGCTGAAGAAAAATGAACTGATAGTTGTTTGTAAAACGAAATGGGTAAATATAATGAATCATTTTTGATATTATTATGCAGTTCCTTTTCTTCTTAACGACAAATATAAGATTAATTAAAAGATGTTACATGATAATAAATTAATCATATTTTTTTCCAATTTAGCTGGAAATTTTCTTTGTAAAATCATTTAAAAATTCTTACTTAATATTATATCTATCAGTGATCAATGTGCCAAATTTTAATTATGAAAAATTGCAATTTTTAATTTTTTAATCCACCAAAGAAGTCATTCAGGAAAATAATATTAATTCATATTATTAACTTATGATTTTAATTATATTATTGGTATGTTTTATATTATCATATCCTAATTGTTTGTTAATTTTCGTTTTCCAACACTCTCTTTTCAATTAGTATCTATTAATAAACGATTCGAAAGGAAAATGGAAATGGGAGATCGTAAAAGTTTTGAAATTTTTGAAGATAATTGCATAACAGTGTAGCGAAATTATGTGAATAATAATATTAAACAAGATTTCGAATTAAAGTTTTATTTCAGTGTTTCATATAATTTTTCCGAAATACTTTTGAATTTTGAGTTCTTAATGGCATTGAACAATGCAGTTTAATTCATGAAATGTTCAAAAAATAGTTATGAAAAGCAAAATTAGCATAGAACTTAGAAAGATCTCCTCTTTAATTTCCATCCTTATGCATCACTCTATGCAAGTTGTAGATTTTCATTTTAATAACATTCCTTTGTTCAAATCAACTTTTGTTGCTTTATTTCTTGTGATAATTTTTAAAATATCTTTAATTAGTCGCTGATATTAATTAATTGAAAGTATTTGGTAAATGTTAACAAATTTAAACCATTTACTAATCATTAATACAAACTAGCTCAAGTTAATTCAGGATATTAATTTTACACGATTGCTAATCATCATTTAATATATTATTATGCGACATAATATTCAGTTTCATGTATGAAAAAAGTGTATGATTCGATAAAGCAGACGCAAGAAATCTGTTCATTAGCGAAGTTTCGAGTTCATGGTACATTTTTATTATCTGGAAATTCAGGCCGTAATTAATCGATATCCAATTCTAGAAGAGATGGTGCTATCACTTCCTGGATACCGCAAGATGATTCACAATGCCCTGCTGGTAGGCCCACTTCACCTGGCAGTCCATTTGGCCCTGGTGGTCCCGGTTCACCGCGCTTTCCTGGTGGTCCACGAGGACCCTAAAAAAATTAATTAATAAGTCATGTAATGAATTTTTTTGCTGAAAATTATGGGGAAGCGGTTGTTGTATTTAAAAAAAATAAAATAATGACTCACTGTTTCACCAATAGGTCCCAGAGGTCCCACATTAGTCGAAGGAATACCATTCGGTCCAGGAGGACCTTTAGGACCACGTGGTCCCGGTGGTCCAGGTGGGCCTTTAATTCCCACTCCGCCGATAGCGTCATCACCAGGTGATCCTTTGATACCAGCATCGCCTTCCTCACCCTGCTTACCTGGTGGTCCTGGTGGTCCCACTCGACCGGGTAGTCCTGGCTTACCAGGCAATCCGGGTGGTCCGGATTCTCCAGGAGCACCTGGTCTACCCTGTTCTCCTTGCTGTCCATGATTGCCTGGTGGTCCTGCAGGACAAATCACGCTGTAATTTGCTTTTTTTAAACTGAATTATTCAAATTTTTATGCAGAGTAAAGAAGCATTGACAAATCTCTCCAGAAATCATATTAAAAGGAAGGTAGGAAAGTAAAATATGCCAAATAAAAAAACCTAACTACTTTTTGCTCTCTCTTTCCTTCAATTATATTTCGACCTTAGTTTTCATTTCTCATATTGTTTCGACCATTCGCAACTTCAAAATTTTGGTACTTCACCCTTTGATCGAGATAACAGATATTAAATTGCAGCAGCATGATAACATTAGGAACTAACCATGGGAAATTAGGTTCAGCATGATCCAATATATCAATTCCATCGATACCTGCTTTACCTGGTCTACCAGGAAGGCCATCTGCACCAGGTTCTCCATCTAAGCCTGGCGGTCCTCTAGACCCAGGTGAACATCGTAAATTAATGCATGAATCGCATTGATGAGATTCACCTGCCATGAGATGTTCCGAATAAACGTCTGAAGACATAAATTTTCAATGTGAAAAATTTTGTTGTAGTCAAATGATAAGTATTATTACTCATCACAAATACAACTTATTAGATGAAGTCCACTTTTCTTGAAGATTTTTAGTCATAAATGTTGAAGTATGATTATTTTTCGAGTGAGTTTAATATTTTATCACAAGTTTTATCAGTGAGATTACTTCAGTAAAAGAGAAAGTAAAAGTAAAAAGAAGGAGAAGAATAAATTATAATTACAAACTAAATTTACCTCTTTTTATTGTTTGACCTTTTCGTAATGCAAAAATATCTATCCAAATGTTTTTTCTTGTTTCCTATAATTATAAATTGAAATTGAATTTGAATAAAAATTTTATTGCTACTTGCATTTATTGTAATTTTATCACTCCCAAATGAATTTAATTTTATTAGCAATCAATAAATTAATTTTAATCAGCTTATTTTCTTTTTTAATTGAATAATTGAAAAAAAATTGATCATCAGTTTTAAATCATTTTCTGCTGCTGGATTAAGTGAAATTAATATAAATTAATCAGCAAATTAATTACAGCAATTAAAAACAGATCTTGTAACAAATAAAAAACTTAAGTTTATTAGTTTCTTGAAATAACTGTAAAAATTGAATAAAGAACTTTTGAAATTTAAATTTGTTAAAAACAAGAACTTTCTACTTTCTACCTCTAATATAGCCATTCGCTTTTGCAAATGTTGCTTTGTACGTTCAATTCGTAGAAACAACGATATATGCATAACAATCATTATTGTAAGCAAAAAAAGCGATATAAATATGGTAATTTGAGGTCGATTAAAAGCATTTTTATAGTTGTCCACCATGGAAGACTGAAATTATTGGAAGGGAAATTCTCTTTTAACTTTACTTTTTATGAATAAATTATGGTAAGTGATGAATCGAATCGATCGCTTAGATGAAATTATTTACAAGAAAAAGTGTAAAAATAGGAAATGAAACGGAAAGGTAAAATATCAGTGATAAAAAAATGTTCTGATCAAATCGATTATTTCAGTATTTACAATAAAAGAATTACAAGGAGAAATTTTAAAAAGACAAAAGTTTAATTTAAGAAGAGATAATTACTTTTTATAATAAATAGTCAAAATAATCTAATATGAATTAGTTATTACTTTTTTATTATATGAAAAACTTTTTGATTAATTAGAAAGAATTTTAATGGCAATGATTGCCATTTCTTTTGAAGTTGAAATGTAAATAGTTTTAATTAAAATTCAAATGTCGCTGATATTGAAATAACGCAACGATTGAAATACGAACAATATGCCCAATGCACTTAATTTCATATTTTAAGGTCAAGGTGATGGTATAAGATCTGTGACATCATCGCTCAAATACCTCACAATCGGTCTTCTTACTGATTTGTCTCATGGATAATTTTCCTTTTCATAACTGCCATATAATCATTGAAATTATATCATCGTATAATTTAAAAACAATTTAGTAATAAAGAATAGTTAATTGTAAATGAATATGCCCACAAATATAAAGTTAAATATTAAAAAACGATCTGATAAAAGCATATGAAATTATTAAATCAATAAGTAATTCATAAAAATTGTTTGTATGGCATATAATTATGCAGTTATCATCATTTCATTAATTTCTGTTTTAGTCAATTATAAAATTATCTTAGTAAACCTTAAATATATTTAAATTTAATGCTTGCATAAGTACCATCTAAAAACGGAATAATTTTTATTGTCATTGCTATGAACATTATCTTTTAATTAGACAAACCAAAAAGAAGGAAAACTTTGGATGGTAATGAATTTGATGATTTGATAAGGAATGGATTATGGCTATAAACTTTATTAGAGCAACAACTCATGATAAATTTATAATAGATTGCTATATCTTGAAGAAATTATCCGTTGTAATTGTTATCACTGGAAGAAGGTAAATTTGTCATCACATGAAGGCTGGAATATTGATATTATATATGTAATTATAATAATATATATTATTATATATTGTTATAATTTCAATATTATATATGTCCCACTGATAAATGATATTAACATTGTGAGATAATTAACTTTACACTTTTAAAATTAGCCACTTTAATGCGGTATACATCAATTATTTTGCTTCCATATGTAAATACATAGTATTGATGGTTTAAAAATATTATTATCAATCTCTTTTTATTCAAAGTTTTATGATAAGATATCATTTATCATTCTTTTAATTTTCTTTGAAATGCAGTTAAGTTTCTTCTTTTTCTATAATTTGCAACATATTTCATTTTCACTTTCCTTCATAAATCATTACTTCAATAGCTTTTTCAATAAAGAAAATGAAAATAAGCGATGATCAGATTAATTGTTTTATGCAACCAACTAAATTATCTCAAATAGTCATATATTTTCTTAATTGCTGACAGTTGTTTACATTACTTTATTACATTTTTTCACATGTTGTTTATTTTATTCCATTTTTTAAATGAAAGATATTTCAACAAAGATATGGTACCACTGGAAAAGGCATTAATTGTTTATGTTTGGGACGATTTTTGTCTTTTTCATGGCGTCTTCCTCTTGAAGTTCCCGATATGAAATTCCATGGAAATTGAGTATGTAATGGATTTCGTTCATCCCACGGAAAACTCTATAATTATTAGTTATTATAACAGATTTTTGAAATTTCAAAACGAACTTTTATGACTGATAAGAAAATATGGAAATAAATTTCTCCCAAAACAATGTTTTGCTAACAATTATTACTCAAACCAATTAATTACTCTATTCTTTCTATCATTCTAAGTTTTTTAGCTTGCAATTATTTAATATATTCATATAAATGAAAAGTTAAAAGCTACTTTAAGTTTTAAAAAAATCTGCAGTTAAAAATTTTTTGCTTCTGAAAGATGCTACTCTCTATACAATAGCATTCAGGCAAATGACCCTTATATTTTTAAATATCTCGGGTCATAAGGTCAGAATATAGACAATTCTGCCATAACAAAAACATCGAAAAAAGAGCTACGAAACGAAAATATGATTCTCTTTTTTCATTATAATAAAAAAATTTCAAAATGATTGCAATAAAAATTTATTTTATTATAAAGCAAGCTGAGAGGATGTCGCGCAGTTGTCAACCAAAGGTAGCATTACATATAATTTGACGCATAATAAAATATTACTATTAGCTCTCTATCATATTAGCTTATTATATTAATTATAATAATTCTAAAAACAAATTTATTATTATTTTTTAATATCAAACGGTAAGTTTATATTGCCTATTTCTTTGCTTCTCATAAGATCGGAATTAAAATGAAAACCGACTCGCTGAATATTGTCTTCAAGATCCACACTCCAACGATTTACTTCTTCATTATAGATTTCCAATTTTCGATAATCGATCGATGTCATATCACGCAAATATACGCCATCTTTATAGATTTTGCCATTCTGAATATTGATTTTTTCTTTGTATTATCAGAAGATTATGAACAGCCAAAATATCTTCAGCTTAATTTTAACATTTGTATATAATAAATTTGTATATTAATATTTCAAATATTTCAATGAAATTCATTTAGAAAAAAAGGGCAAAATAAAATAAGAATAAGTAAAATAATAGAAAATGGTCCCCTATCATCCGAATTTGTTGATTAGAGGCTGTGACACTTTTTGTTATTGCCACCCGAAAACCATCATTGATCAAAATTACTGATTAAATGAAAGAGTGAAATGAAAAATTACAATAACATAGCATCCCTTGCCGCTAGAAATTAATACACCATCTGCATTGTAGCAATTATTGTTGATACAAATGATATTACCGATGAAACTATTGATAATTGTATGCTGTACTTCTGATTTGACTACCATAACAAGCAACAAAAGATAGAAGCTGAAAATTTCGAGAATTACAGGTAGTTAGACAAAAGCTAATTATAGAAGATTGAAATTGTTGACAGAATATCGAATATTCATTTCTTTACAATTCGTAATTATATATATATATATATACCATTATTTTTATTTAATTTTAAGTAATAAGATGTAACTAAATGTGCTGTTGGATTCAAAATTAAAATGTTAAATTAAAATAATATCTTTTTGTTTTTATGCTAATAAACAACATAAGGCAACAATCAAAGGGTCATAGGTATATGGAAAATAAGAAGAAAAAACTAACAACATTATCTTCATGGGACTTCTAATAAAAGTGAGAATTTGGCTGACTGAAAAAAAAGAATTAAACAGGTGTAAATATTGGTGAATTATAGAAGAAGGAAGAATTGAAAAGAGAGAGATGAAGAGAAAGTTATATCAGAAGGAATAAAGTACAAATTTTCGAAACAATTTATTTTAACGAAGTTTAAAAAAAAGACAATCAATTTTGTCCTTTGCAATATATTTCAGTGATAATGGGAATTAATTCTTCATTAGAAAATGCAAAGTTTTATTTGTGTGGGAGTGAAATCGAATGACTAATAATTGTTTCAATCAGATTTGCCGATAATATTATATGAAAAAGGAACTGATTGAATAAATATTGAATTTTAAAAGTATTATTCCTTTTATGTAATGAAATTATTAATTTGAAAGGAATTTGTGAAAGCAACCAAATGACAGCTGTTTTGGAAGTTTGATTAATGCATTCATTTTCCCTTTTTAAGTTTTTTTTCGTATAAAAATTGATATTGCGATGAGTCATTTTAAATTAAAACCGTAGCTGAAATGAAATTTGTCAAAAAAATTATACGTAATGCTGCACAGGAAGAATTGTATGAATATAGAGAAAACAGGTCTTCGTCATATTTAGGTAAATATTTTCATTAATATGTGAAGTTTCTTTCCTTATCATATCAATGATAATTTGAGAAAAGTTAAAGGAAGTGGATCAATCATTTATTACAAATCATTCATTTATCAGCCTGAAATAACTGATGTAATTTTCTTCAAATGAATATCGATTTGCTTTATTTCCTTTTTCCTTCTTCTTTTGATATTATTATATTTAACAATTTTGCTATTTTCATTAGCTATGTTGTTAAATATGCTTAATATTATTTTGTATTCGATTAAATAACATTTTCTGTTATTAAACAGAAATTAATAATTTCTGTAATTAATCTCTGTAAATTTCTGTAATCAAAATTTTTGCTTAATAATTAATTAATTAATTAATAATAAATATTGAAATTCTGTTATAAATTGTAATGACTGTTACATTGTATTTTGAATTTCTTCTTATTATGTAATTCTTTATGATTGCTATCAGAAATATGGGAAAATATTTGTTTCATTAAAAGGCAATGGAATTGACAGAAACTTGTTTTTAAATTTTTTGTGAAATCAAAAAATTAACATTTAATTCTCTTTTCCTTCCTTCCTTTCCTTCTCTTTCCTTTCTTTCTTTTTCCTTTCCAAAAATATTTTTATGAAATGATATTTTAGCAAATATCATTTCATCCTAAATATATTATATGAATAATAATTTTGCCTTGAAATTTTGAAATGATCAATTCTTCTTAAACATAATTAATTTCTTATTTTAGGGAAAAATTGAAACTTTTGTTTTTCTAATTAATTTGGTTGAAATTTCCAAAAAATTTTTGACCTAATATGATATAATATCGATAGGAACTATTAGTAATACTATTATCAAACTTATTCAATTTATAACTAAACAAGAAATGAAACGAACAAAGTAAATTATAAAATAATGAAAAAGACAAAAAATTGAAATGAAAAACAAAAGTGGAAGAATAATTAATTTGATTTATTAAACGATATTTGACGTTAATTACAAACGTCGAATTAAAAAATAAATTGAAGCGAAATATGAAAGGAAAAAATTTTTATAAATGATGAAAAATTGTTTCTTTTATACAAATAACAACGTATTCTTTCATATGATATTTTATCTCAACGAATTGCTAATTTTAAAGTTTTATTTATTTAAAACAATAATAATTACGCTATATGTAATTAAATTAGAATATACTAACTGAGAAATCTTTATATTTTCCTATCAAATTTAACACTTTAAATATAAAAAGAATAAATACAACTTTTTCTTAAAGAAATTCAAATAGTCTTAAAAGGGAGGAAATAAAATCTGTAATATATATATAATAGACACACTATTGTTGTACCATTACTAATTGAGAAATAACAATGATAACAGTGTGTATAAGTGATAATTGTTGAATCATTAATTTTTTTCCTTCATACCTTCAATATCTTCATATCAACAAATCAATATAAAAATTCCTAAATTCGAAATTTAACAATTTAAAAGGATGATAGTTCAGCGAATCATTCCATTCGTTTGCTCGTTTTTCCATTGAGAAAAAGTGAAAAGAAATAGTATAATACATTTATTAAAATCAGGATGATGGAACCGGTTATGTCAGAGTATCTTTTTCAGGAGATTGATCCGTAGGAGTAAATTCAGTAACGAAAATTTTACCGATTAGCTTCTGTACTAACATAAAAATGAAAATTGCTGATACCGCACCGAAATAGCAGCCATAAATGAAGAACTGAAATACTTTTTTAGTTAAAAGTTGTTAAATTTTGGAAATATTTGTGCAGCAAATAAACATTTCTTGAAATGCTCTTGAAAAGTCAAATTATCGCAATGATTGGATTAAAATTTTATAATAAAATTAAATTAAAAATTTCGTCTACAAAAATATAGCTGTAAGATTGAAAAATATTTTTTATAAATCATTAAAACTTTTGAATAATTATTAATTATTTTCATAATAAAATCAAAACGATAAATATTATAATACCCAAAATTTCGTAGCATACAATCATTGTTTTTTATTGTTTTACATAACAAAGTGTTGTTCTTTTTTCTATCCGAAAAGTTTTCATAAAACTTTTCGGATAATATAAAAACTTGGATTAAAAAATATAAGATGAAATGAAATAAAACAAAAGTAAATAAAATGAGATGGATAATTTTGTCTCAGGTAATTTTGTGCTATAAAATTACCTGTGTACGTATATCAAGTGCCAAACCATGCTTATCAACAACAATTAGGGTAAGTATTGTTTGCAACAGAAGTGCAACAAAAGTGTTGCAACCAAATACTAAACCATAATTTGCTGCTGTCAATTCTATCGCAATATTAGTACTGAAATAAAACTTTCCATTGCAAAAATTTCTTTTATTAAAATATAAAATTTGTTTATATTTCAAACATTAAATTAAAAGAAGGAAATTCAAAGGAAAATCGAACACTTTTTTACGAAAATAAAGCATAATTTTAAATGTTTTAATTTTAATAGAAATAAAAACTTAATTAATTTATTGAAATTGATAAGGAATTATGATAAAAACATTCCCTTATCATTTATCATCAAATGATATTAATAATTATGAAGTTGTTGAAATTATTTTATTTCATTGTTTATTTATCTTACCTTGCTGCTGTTATAAGTAACTGATAAATGGTAGCAAAAACTATGTAAAGAATATAAGCAATAAAAGCACTGCTCGTTTGAGACATTACAATCAATAATATAGCGCTAATCATCGAATTGATCCATAATATCAGTTCGCCACATTTCACCCAATCAATTTTCATGTACTGTACGAAAAAACAAACGATCGCTCCTGTTTTATTTGTCTTTTCAATTAAATCATTATATCAGTTGAAATCATATTGGAATATATAACATTTAGTCATAGTTTATTAAAATATAATTTGGTATTTTTTGTATTCATATTAAATTGATTATTCATTTCATCCAGTTAGATGAGCTTTCACTGAAATATCCAAACTTCGATTTTATACTAAAATTTGAATTGGTATTCTTAATGCTGATATTCGTAAGATATTATATATTTTCGGGGGAAATGATACTTACTACTTTTCCTATAATTTAAAACTCACATTTCCGTAATTTCAGTATATGTAAACGATCTTTTATGCTTCTCAAATGGTATAAATGATAAATAAATGTTCGTTAATTTGCAATTAATATTATTATTAGTATAAAATGTTATTATTCCATTTTAATTTTTCGTTATCACACAATTATATTTTTCTTTATTAAATTGTTGGAAGCATAGATGGAAGTTATGACAGAGCGATCGATAAGAGTACATACCGATCAAAGTTGCTGCACACTCGGTGATACCATTGTATGCTTCACCATTTTGTTGTAATAAAGCCCACAAATTTTGCACGTAATTTTGAACCTAAAATAAAAATCAAAAACGAATGATTTTTCTAACAAAAAATTTTTTGAATTCATAATTAAAATTTAGTATAATTTTAATTATGAATTCAGAATTTTAAACTTTTTTTTATTGCGTCATTCATTATTAATTTATGAATTTAATACTTCCTGTTGCATATTGCCATTATTACCATTATCGCTATCTATAATAATAATATTAATATTAATTTGTAATTAACAATTGTTTTATATATGTGGAATATAATATATATGGTTAGTTACTTAATCCTTAAAGTTTTTGAAGTGAGCTTCGACGGGAATTGATATCTGAAAACTTAAATATGAAATTAAGTTATCAAAAAAAGGAAGGAATAAATGTCCGAATGTCCTACTTGAAAAGTCCCACAACTGGCCAATGCCCACCAAATGCACCATTTGAATACAGCTGTTTTGCTTTTGAAAACCATTAAATGTTTCCAAGCATCTTGAAGATGAGTCTTCATCCCAGGATGAACTGTTGCAGATATTGCATTTAGTGATACCCTGTGCTATATATTCAAATTTACGTTGACAAATAATATGATTGACCACTTGTAAGTGGCTAATTAATTATCTGTTATGAAATGAAACAATTCAATTAACTGGATTGCTTGAAAGGTAAAAGTATAAAACTTCAGCACAATTTTTAGAAAATTTTAGAAGAATGGTATCAAAAATTGATAGTTATTTTAAGCTGTTAACCTTTCTTCGTCATGTATTTCGATTGTTTGGTCGAAATTTTCCATTTCTCTTAAATTTTTATTCTTGATCATATTGGGTGATATTGATGGAAGTAAGCAAGCTATTAGTAAGGAAATACAACCGGAACCAAATGAAATCTAATAAACCAAAAATTATTTTAACCATTCAGAAAAAATATGTTTCTTTGGAAAAGAAAATCCAAAGAAGTTTTACTATACTCGCATATTCATCGAAAATCGAAAGCCGAAAACGGATACGTTTTTTTCTCGCAAAAAGAAATTAAGCCATTATATGGCAATTAGTAGGAAATTAACTATTTTAGATAATATCTCAATAATAATTGATAAATAAATAGCTGAGTAAATCTAATAATTTTCGAGTAATTATTAAAATATTCTGATTTGCTTACTAATTTATAAAAGTTTTACTCATTTTTTAGCTATATTTTGTAATAATTGTTTATTAATCAAAAATAAATGAAAGAATTAATCGATTGTTAAATCAAATCAATATATCACCTGTTGGGAAATTATTTTATCAAATGAATTTATAAAATATTTACTTGCCTCATGTAGTTGTAAATATGAAATAAGATGAGTTGAAATAAGCAGCTGACCGGATCCGTAAGCTAAAAATTTGCCAAACAATGTAGCTGTCTTCACATATGAAGTGATACATTTGAAATGCTTTTGTTCAACAACTGCATACATATAGGACACATAGGCAATATCGGATGCTGCTGATAGTCCTATTAGTTAACACATATGAATTCTTATAATTTAATCATTTCCTTATCAATTTCAACCCATTTTTTAAATATAAGAATATTGTGAGAATGACTTCGAATAATTATGGCATACAAACCAGAAATGATTTCCATTAATTGCATTTGCCATACTTTATTACCCCAAAGAATGATTGCACGAGAAACGCAATAAGACATCGCTTCGAGAACTACAATTGGTTTATGTCGCAATATATCAGTAAGGAAAAATGTTGGTATCTAAAAAGACAAAATTAGCTTGAAATTTCGGTGTAATATTTATTATATTGATGTTAAAAGGGACAGATAATTAAATAAGAAAGAATAAGAAAGAATTAACTATAAAATTTATCAAATTTTTATCATTCCGTGGAAAAGGTAAAAATTCCACCAATACGAAGTAGTTTTCAGAAAATCATTTTTTGATTATCATTAAACAAAAATAATATAATAATTAAATTTACTTTTAAATTCAACGTCATAACTGATACAACAGCAATTCGAATATAGTTTTCCATTCTAATATGAATTATATACTTTGTATAACTTTACTTAACTATCAAACCGTAATTTAATTCCAGTTAATATCATCCCTTTCTATTATTAATTTTAATTAATTAATTAATGCTTAAAAAGCAATAAAATATCTGTTACACTATTCAATAACTTACCAATGCGATCAAATATGAATAAGTCCATAATGGATATATTTGACTATACAGTTGAACATCGGTGAAATTTTTATATGATGAAATGAGGAATGGTGTCAAAAAAGGGGTAGCTGGACGGAATTTCTTGATCATTCCAAATAAACACATGAAATATGCTACATGTTTCCAGTACATTCCGGCTGATCATATATTATCTGCAATTCAATATTTTCTCCATTTTAATTTTTCAATTGATAGAAATTCAATCAAATTTCATCTTCATTTCTTCATTCCTTTCAGAAAGACACATACACACACACAGACAGACACCCATATTTCATACATTTAAAGGATTCAACAGAATAGTACAGGGAAGGATCAAGGATCGGGAAATGAGCACAAAAACGGGGAAGTACAATCGGGTGTGGTTATTTCTGTGTAATGAAAAGGAGCATAAATGTTTTGTTAACCACCGATCGTTCGTCCCATCATTCCTTTCTTCCGATCCTATCACACTTTTACACTTGCAGGAGTAAACATGTCTAAAATAAAAGTTAAATAAATTATTTTCTTTTTCTCTTCCCTTACCTCTTCTGTCAAATAATGTTACTTTCTTCCCTTTCATAACTCAATTAATTCATGTTACTTTTTTTCAAAAAATTTCATTTCTCAATTATTTAATCTAATTAATATCTTCTTTGTTTTTTGAAGCGATAAATTAAATAATTTAAGAAAAGTTTTGAAGAGATAATTAACCTTTGCTTATAAAATATGAGAAGATTGAAGATGAGAAGATTGAAGCAAACTTTTCTTATATATAATACATGAAATGAATAGGAAAATTTGAATATTGTCAAAAGAAATGCATTAGCGAAATGAAATTATAGTTGTCAATTAAAGAAGGATATCATTTATTGCTGACAGACGAGTTTATGCCAGTAAATTTTAAAACTGACATCTTTAATGCACAATTTATCATTCTTTTTCAAACGGTAAAGAAAATAAAAGAGCGAAAAAACGAAGTCAATGATTAGATAGCAACATTCAAATACTGTTAAAGTCTATATAAACTACACGTATGATATTAAATTATAATTTGCTACTGTTAAAATTAAAATTTCATTCCAGGTGTAATTAGATGTTCCCCCTAAAATAAACTGTCATTAATTGCCCATAGATCATTACAATGTCGCAACACATTTAATGTGCAATATTTGCAGTGCTTTTTTTCAGATTACTGAAAAATTTAAAGAAACTTTAAATTGGCAGAAAATTTCATGAATTTTTTTTATCATTTAAAATTTTGAACTGGAAGCTATTTTCATGTGCAACAAATGCATGCTTATATAAATAAATATATGTTTGTTTACCTGTCTGTCTGGTGTGTGTGTGTGTGTCTATGTGTGTACCTAATGGCGTTTCTAATTTTAGTACCATTTAAATGAATAATAATAGAAGAAGTAATAGAACTAAACTAAATCAAAGCAAATCAAATATTAAATCAACGATTCTTCTTATTATATCCTTTTAATTTTAATATTGAATATGCAAATTTTTTTTAAACATTATATAGAAATGTTATTATAATTTTAATATTAAATAGAAATAAAAGTTATTGTAAAGATATGAGAAATTATAAGATCTGATCTATCTGTCAAGAAATTTCTATTCTAAAATTTATTCTTGGGAAATGAGAAAAAAGCGACTCATTTATGAGAAATGGTAATTAACAAAAGACAAAAGTTTTCCCTTTTTCTATTTTCTTCTTTTTCCAATCTCTTTTTTGCTTCTCTTTTTTAATACAAACGAATACCTTTTCTTTATTACCATAATAAGAAAGAGAAAAAATAATTTTATGTTTGTTAAACTTTATCATTTAAAGAGCAATAAATTACGAATAAGCTTCCATGAATAATTTCAATTTGGTTATGACAATTTGTTTATTTGTTATTTAATTATTTATTTATTTTTTGCATTCGATAATTTGATATATTAAATCGAACAAATTTTGTTGAAAGTGATGATAAAAATTTAATGTAATATGTCTATTATTTGCAATATTAAATTATGTTGTCTATAAATTATTATTAATTAGTAATTAAAAATTACAAATCACCAATTTTCAGCACTATCATTTTGTCCGTTGAGCATTCATTTTCAATTAATATGTTTTGCAGCCTGCGGAATGCAAAGTATAATCTGAAACTTTATGTGTAATTGTACTTTGCCATCGAGAAGATAATATATTTCATTTCAAGACACTAAGGAACAAAAAGAGTTTGCACGATTGATTTTGCAAATGTATTTCATTCAGTATTTCGTATTCAATGTATGTATCCAATGAAAGATACTTGCATATTCATATTAATTTTGTAGAAAAAATTTATATTATTCAACAAAGATTTCATTAAATTTTATAATTAAAGAATTTTTGGAATTATTAAATAACAAAAATTACAATTTAATGATAAAAATTATAAATTAATTGAGATTTCTATTCCTTTGTTTGCTTAAATTTACAACGCATTATGCAATACTAAAATAATTAATGAAAATATATTACAATTACATAATAATAATAATAATATTATTATTATATGATATATTATTACATCACAACAATATTATACATTTTGGGTAATTTAAAATTTAATTCATTGGAAAAAATGACAATAATAACAAGAAAAAAATGGTAGCAATAAAACATTTATGCAACAAAATATCGCAAAAGTAACATAAAATATTGAAAATAATAAAATGACCCCATAATCATACCGTAATACCTTGTTATCACTTTTATTATCACATGATGATATATTATTCCGTACAGTATTATCATATTGACCGCGCCATCGTTGTATAATTTACTATACATGAAAAATTAAAAGCAGCAAATGATTCATATCATATATTGTGTTATATAGTTTGTATGCTATCAACGATCGAATAGAGAATGATTTAATAAGGGATTAAATGATTGAAGAAAATAAAAGATGCAACGTTAGTAGTAGAAATACTGTTAAATAAATTTTGAAATATTGTTGTTTATGATAGGTAAGAAATTCAAGTGGTTTAATAACTTTAAAATTTGCATCATAATAATGAATAATTAAACAATCAGTTGGTTTAAATAAGCGTAATAATGTTAATCAGTTAATGAAATTTATATTACTTATGAATTCTTCAATATTTATAGTACACTATAAACAAGTGTATGACAAGCTAATATTTATTAAAACAAAAGAATAAATGTCTAATATTCTGACTATTCAATCACCAGCAGATTTCCTGTTTCGGTAATAAAATAACGTTCATTTATTTAAATAAGCTCAAATAAGTCCAAATTCTATTATTAATTTAAATAAATATTTCATTATGTTAAGTTCATGAATAAGCATTCATTTTTATTATATTAACTACTAATAATTAATTCATTAAACAACATGAATTAATTTAATTTACATTAAATTATAAATTTTTTTAAACAATAGAGATAGCTTAATTTGAATTATTTAAATAATATGAGAAGTAATTGTGATGCTTTGTTAAATTATTTCATTGCTATCAATAGTCGATCAGAAATTACAATTACCAGTGGTTTATTGATTGCCGATAACATTTATCATTGAATTGCAAACATTTATCATACTGATAGCATTTTGTTCTTTTTCAAATTATTAATTTAAAAAAACAAGCAAAATTAATTCTTAAATTTTAACCGACAAATTGGGTGAAATATGAAGAAATGTTATTATCTTTCACGGCAAATATTTGGAAAAAAGAAAAATAACTGATAAAGTAATTGATAACAAAAGATATGCAAATCAATCTTTAATTAATACACATAAACAAACTTAATTAAACAAATAATTCTTAGCTTTTAATTATTGCCAAAAAAGGAAAATGCATGTTAGCAAATGTTATGTAATATGCATGCAATTGTTTGTTAGCATTTAAAAATTTAATGAATTAATGCAACAATATATTCATATAGGTTACCATGCGGCATTCATTAGAAAAATATAAATGGCTGTAATAGCAACATAACATTGTGATATACTTTGTAATACAATCAATTTTGAAAGTATTAATTCATCATGGACTGTCAAATCTTTCTTAATGTATTGCAATGAAAATGATATTATTATACCTGAGAATATTTCATTGCTTATTCATTGTTTTAAATATTCCAGGTTATTTTTCCCTCATTTTTCAATTAACAACTAAAATAATTATTTTTTGCTGAAAAGTGAATAGTTTCAATTAATTTTGTTAGAAATAAGCCCAATCATTCCTCCCATTTCTCTCTCCCCGCACATCGGTAATTTATGGTACCAATAAGAGTATTAATACATTTGGTAATTCTATTAAAATTATCTGAAATATTTTGCATTTTAGCCCATAGCGATTGCATATAATTTGCACTTAAATTAAATCAAAAATTATTGTTGTATTTCAATTTCTCTGAACTATCAATGTATGGAAGAAGAACACTGAATAGGATAATTTGACAGTTACAATATTTATCGATAAACAGAACAATTCGAATGCAATGATAATAAATTATAATAAATCCATTTTATACGGTAAATCAATGGAAAGAATAAGAAATGCTAAAGTTGAAATGTCAAATTTGCAGGTAAAACAGAATGGAAAAGAAATGAAAAACTTTCAAATATTTCAGTAAAATTGACGACAAGAAAAAATGAATGAAATAAGCAAAAATTGAAAATATAACTAAAAAATGATCGATCAATTCATTCATTTCGGTTAAATACAAAGCGATCGATTATAAAACGAAACAGAAATTTAATTTGAAATTTTCATTAAATACAATTAAAATTAATTTTAATAAAATAACGAAAAAAACTTAGAAATAATTAGCATAAAATTTGCTAATTATATCATTTTTTCTTTTATTGTAATATTTTGAAGATATATGAAATTAATATTATTTCTTATAACAATTTTTCTTTTCTATTTTTATGCTAAAAAAGATTTAAAAGGTAAATTACTTCCTTAATGAAATGATTCTTCACATTTTTCTAAATTCGTTAATTAAAATATGTATACAAAAAAATGAGATAAGTAAACAAATAATTACGGAAACCGTCATTTTTTGCTATATGGAAATTTGATGAGAAGAAAAGAATATAAATAATGGGATAATTAAAGGATAGACTGTATTGTTCCTCATTCTTCTAGTGTAACAGGTTTGCGGTAATTAACCGCGGTTCTCACCTAACCATTGGAAATTATTTAATCAACCGCTAAATATCAGGATGTCAAACGTAGTGCCAATTAAAACAGCTGATGGAAGTGATGTTGGCTTCTATAATGTTAACAACGATGAACTTAAACTCTTTTTACAACTTCTTTCACCTTGTAACTCATTAACCGCTCAGGTATTAATTATATGAATTAGTTTTGTTTAGTTCCAGTTATATTTAATCATAAAATGCAATAATTAAAAAAAAACATCAAACAATAAATGAGCTTGAACTCATTCAAATTCTAATCATATTGCCACTGAAGTAATTGTAATATATTTTAATTTGAAATTTATAAAGCATTGATAAAAGGATTAAGTACAATAACATTAACAGTTATTGCATAAACACAGAAGAAGTGAAAAAACCCTTATCGCAGTCGTAAATCGATTGATTCCACTACTGACTAATTAGTCATAGAGCCTGGTCTTATCGTCTACTCCTTCCGATCTTCTTCTGTCCAATGAATCATTGGTTAAATGAACTTGTAATCAGAACCTAAGGTCAATGTGAAAAAAACAAAGGAAGAAATGAATGTCCCCCCCCCCTGATCTCTATTTGTTTTTATACCATTTTTCTCATTTTGATTCAGTCTCTCTGTTACATACTCATAATCTTTAGCAATCTTACATCATATTTATGATATATACTGATTACAAAATGAAAAGTCCACTAAAAATTTAATTATTGTTTGACAAGGGAATACCCATTATCAATTTTTTACTACTTCTAATATGCCTTAGATATTAAGAAAGTATTTTTATATATTTAGGCATGCGCTGTTGAATATTTCCGACGTCTACTGGTTCACGATCACCTTCCACCTCTACCTATTGCTGATACACTCGTTTGTCGTTTTTATTGTTTCATTTTGTTCATTGATCTCACTTAATTAAGATAGATTTATGGCCAAAAAGAATTATTAAACTAAGCCAAAATTAAAGTCAACGTCAATTGACAGATATTTTGATTAAGTGACATGGCGGAATCTGTATGAGTAATGGAGGAAGTTCCCGTTTATTCATCCTTTATTCGGTTATTAACTGACTACTTTGATCATCTTCCAGATTGAAGGTCTCATTCGCTGCTTACGAGTGAACTTTGCCAATATTCAAAGAGATGCTGCCTGGGCTCTTACTAACTGTGCCTGCTCACCGCATGAAATATGCTATAAAATAATTCAATATGTAAGTTTATAGATGCATTGCTTTGATTACGCCAACATAACAAAATTTAAATTTTGTTATGTTGGATATTCTTTTCTATAGCTTATTAATTGATAATATTTTGTTTGTAAGGGTGGCATAGAAGCATTGATTGAATGTGCCGAAATGACAGATGGTGAAACCCGAGATCAGGTTTTCTGGACACTTGGTAATATCGCATTGGATTGCCCCACTTGTCAAGAAAAGGTTATACAGTATTCATTTATTGCATTAGCATATGCACCTCTGTTTTATTCGTACTTGCTAATTACAACAATAGTAATACAGATACAGGACAGTGCTGCACTGCCTGTTATGATCAGTGTTCTTGTTAATCCCATGTTCATTCATTCAAAATGGAAACGAAATCTTGTATGGGCTATGTCACAAATATTTCGCGGTGGTATTCAGACGCTCCATCTTATGGTTAGTCTGACTCGTTCACAATCCATTGGTAGTACGACACGTACAAAACATAGAAGCACGTGTCATCCTTATTGATTATCTTTCAAAATTACTTATAATTTGCAGGGATAAGTAATTTTGAGTAATTCATTTTTAGTTTATACAAACAGCATTAACCGGTCTTCATTCCTTGCTTTATTTGGATGATGCAAAATTAAAAGTGGACGCAACTTGGGCAGTAGCATACATTGCTGATGATACTGTCGATGGCAGACAAGTACGGTCTTTTTTTCCTAAACAGATATACTAAGTAGTCAAATGAAGCAGCTGTAAGTCCGACGTTAAGGTTATGAAGGAGATATGTTATATGCACACAATCACATTAATGACATCTTTTTTGCAATCAGTAAAATTCATTCGTTCGTTATTATTACACGGTGTAACCTCTCAGAACGTATCAGTTTTTGATAATAATATCAGATTGATGCAATACTGACAACACCACATTTGTTGGAAAGATTGATCGAATTGCTAGATGAAAGCGATACGATACGTGCTGCACTACGAGCTCTCGGAAATCTGGTAGCGGGAGGTGATAATCAAACTCAAGCAGTTCTCAATGCTGGCTTGTTGCCACGCATGGTTCCTCATCTTCATATTATTTTGATCTATCGTAGCGATTTGAAAAAACAACAAAGAAAATCTTTCAATTGAGCTTGAAACGATCAAAAAAATTCAAATGTTGAATAGCATTTACGCTATATTATAACCTAATACAAATGAGAGTGGAATGATTTACTTATTCACTTTAATTACTCTCACATTTGTATTATATGGTCTAGAATCTGCATCAATGTGAGTTCAACCGTTCGTTAATTAATTACAAATCCAAAAAGTATTACCAATCGTATTAATGTTAATGTATGGATGATCTTAGTTTATTTTATCCGATAATTAAAAAATGGAAATGAACTTAAGGCATCGATTGACGAATACTTTGCTAATTGTGCAAGGATATACTTTAACAATTCACATGTGATTTCCTTCGCTTCAACCAAATAACTATTTTGCAGATGAAATTATTCCGGATTGATATGCCGGTTATTCACAAACGTGAAGTATCATGGATTCTTAGTAACATTGCGGCCGGTTCACATCGGCAAATTGATTTGCTCTTCGAAACAAATGATATTGTTGAAATACTTATTAAAGCATTCGACTGCGATGACTATCGCATTCGCAAGGTATTCTTCTCATTTTATCTTTATTCAATATTTCCTCTGTCTCAATTAAAGTTTCAAAAATTTTCTCCTCAATTTTGAGCATATTTCAGGAAATAGGTTGGACAGTAACAAATGCGCTGACAGGTGCCAGTTTGAATCGATCACGTTGGCTATGTGGAAGTAATGTGCTTAGTTTGGTACCACAACTACTTAATCTGCATAGTGAACGTGATTTGATTGATCGAACTCTCTATGCTATTGAATTATTGATCGCAAAGCGAACCAACTATATTTTTATACTTGAAAATTATCAAATTATGCAAACTATACGTCATATTGTTCAAAGTCAAAACAATCAATTTGATGCTTTAATTAAGGTTTGTAAGAATTCAATTTGTTAATAATAAGTTTAACTTTCGGACAATAATATTCAGGAAACAGTTAACATAGTAAATGATTAATAAGTTGGGAGATTAATAATAATTATACATAACAAATGCAACGTGGATACAAAATGTTGAAATCAAAAAATTTATATGCCTTCAATTTTCCGTTCTATTTTTTAGGCACGAGCAAACAGAATATTAAATAAAGAAAGCGATTATAAGGCACATCAAATTCCAGCGAGAAGCTATGTATTGGTCCGTTGAAATTTTTGGCCAGCCTATTAGAAAGAGATTTAAAAAGAAAGCTAATTAATTATTCATTTGATTTTGAACTGTATTAATATCAATGAAATTTCTATTAATACATAGAATTCATTCACTTCCATTAATTTTCTTCTGAATTTTAATAAATTTCTTTTATATTTCTATTTTAACTTAATAACAATGATTGCAAATGAATCATTATTCATACAATACATAAGCTTAGGCTTACAATCAATAAATTAAAAGCAATTTAAAAAAAGATCGATTCCTCAGATAAATTTAAGTTCAAAATAAACATTAAAATAGATAACTCGATAAAAAAGGAATTGAAAAAGAGCAGTTCAGTAATGAAAAAGTACCATACTTAAATGCCAAGAATTTCACCAATAAAACTGTATATATAAATATTTGGACAAAACGACAAATTCAAATAAAAATTTAAAAACTGAAATTAGCATATATCAAACTGGACCCTGCCTTTTACTACCTTAAATTATCCATTATTTTGTATTTCCCCTAGTTTTTTTAAATTCTTTTCCTGAAAAATTTTTGGCTTGAAAATTTATTTTACATCCATAATATTTCACACATAACTTCTAGAGAAGTTCCATATGGTTCCTTATTTAACTTACTCGTTGTTTTTCGCCTGTCTGCTTATGGCAACAATCGTCATAAGTCAAACATTTCAATTGCTTATTGACAACATTCCGATAACACTTCATTGCATTAATATTTCATTAACACTTTATCATATCAATTTTTTGAATTTTATACCACTTATCATTCACTTTGAATGATATTTATTATCAACATTGTTTTAAAAGCGTAGTCGTGATAGGTCTTCAGCATGAATTATTATTGTTGAATTATGACATGATTTAACTCGCATACGGTAATTTATTGTATCAGAGAAAACGATCGTTATAAATAAGAGCAGTAGAATCGATTCAAAATTGTTGATATCGTATCTTATTCGTGATTTTCTTACTGCAACTATGACGTAATACTCCAAAACAAACATTTCAATAAGTCACTTATCCACGAAAAACAAGTTCTACTATCGTTTGTTTGTCATTCGCATGTTTAACTTTCTATTTATTTAAATCCTTAACTTTGTTTATTGGAACGGAACACTAACATTTCATTCCTTTATTGATCAAATGAATTAATTACATTTGCCAGCAGTCTATATCTTTTGTATTAATTAGTTTAATTGATAGTAAATATAAAAATACAAAGGTATTGAGCTAAGTTATTTCAGATTTCACGCATATTTTTTATTAATAAACATTTACTGACCAATTTTTTAAATATCGTGTAGATTTACTATTAAATCAATAATTTTTCAATATTTGGTCATTGTTTTATAAAACTTAATAAGTATTTAGTCCATTTAAATAAACGCAATTTAATAATTATTTTATTGTGTTGTTTATCTATTGAAATCATTTCTCACAATCTCTTATCAATTCTTTAAACATGAGATCAGTTGGAGTTGTCTTTCTTTATCATAAGTCATTCGCATAACTTACGAATTTCATACCTCAAACCTATTTATTCTCCTTTCTCATGAATGTTATTTTTAAGTAAGCAGTTTCTAAATCTAAAAAAAAATTGCAAGTTCTAACCTTTCTTTTTAATTACTTTGTTTAATTGAAGCTAATTATAATATTTATTAAAAAAAAAGAATGCAAAAAAAACGTACTTACTGAGCCATTGTAAAATATATCATTACAATGATATTATAATTATTTTCAAAACTATGAAAATAATTAGACATATCATTGCTAATTTACTCCTCCAAAGAGTATTGATGATATGTCGAATTTGCATTACTATAATGGGACATACCATTACTATAAAATGGTTGGACATACCATTACTATAAGGTGGAATCAAATAAAAAGAAAGAATTATCACCGGTGATACCCGTATGCAACAAACATTCACAGCAAGCAATAATTTTCTTCTAAGCAATTGCAAATGTATTTAGTTTAACAATTGAATTGAATCATAAAATTTACAATTTATATATATGTGAAATGTTTTTTGGAACTTTCTATTAGTACCATTCATTCGCTTATTCTTTGCATAAATTCAAAAAGCAAAATTGAGAAGAGTTTGTCAACAAAGAATGAATGTGTCATCTTGTTGATTGAGTAAACTAACAAGTTCCTGAATTAAGAAGTTCTCGAAGAGAATTCTGCTCGTTTGCATTCATCCAAAAATGATCCTCATCATCATGCTCGCAGTATGTTCCATTTGCATGGAAACCTGTTGGGCAATGATCAACTGAAATAATACATTATGTTAATATAATACTCAAATTATTATTTCGATAACATTCTTAATCAATCCATTGACTGTTTTCATTCCTTAAATAAATCCTATATTGTTTGAATAGATTCCATTGGTATTGCAACAATTTTACAGCGGTTTTTTCAGGACTTATATTCAAGAAATGATAAAAAATAACTTACAGCATCGTCCATAAAGTAATTTGCCATAAGAACACTGGCACTGTGATATCCCTTTATCACTATTTTTTGAGCAGTAAGTGTTTCTACATCTTGCCGAACATTCCTCATCACTTGTACAACCATATTCACCTGGCCACAATTTCCTAAATATTGAAAAAAATATGAATTTAAATGATTAGTGTCCCTTTGCAAAAATGCTTTATTAACAAAATAAGACAAATTGAACTCAATCAAAGAGAGATCGGTCAATTCTTGAAGATAAACAGAACGAGGTGGAAATAGAAATGATAGTACATGCGGCATTCTCCTCTTATGCATTTCTCATTGGGAAGACAAGTGCTATCCGGATCAAAATTGATGATCGATCCATTCCATAAACAACGTCGTGATGTCACCACTGCATACCACACTATAATGTTGTTAACATTAACTACTGATTCCTACAGACTACGGATAGATATTATTCTTACAGCTGCTAAGCACTGCCAATCAAACTGATTTGTTTTAAACTTACATGGTTCTTCAGTGATGTTACTAACTGGAGTGAATAAAGGCTTTCTTCGAGCAGTGCTAAATACGAATTTGCAGGGTGAACCATACTGATCGCAACCTGATCGAGCCTGTTCGTAAAATCTTAGTTAGGATTGACCATATATGTAAGGTTATATATGCAAATTACAACAAAAAAGAAGACTTGTGAGAGGTCAATATGACAGTGGACCTTAGAAAACAGCTATATAAATAAGATTTGTCATAATAATACCAATGATTTTATTTCGTTCGTCTTTTTCCCTCTTATTTCTCAATATATGCACTCATTCACTTGATTTTATCACATTATAATATAACACTCAAAATAAATTCATTGTTTTCTAATCTAAAACCAATCATCATTACATTAACGAGTTTGAAAAAAAAGGAAATGCTCCTATCTCGTTTTGTTCGTTCTATCTTTTCTCAATTTCTATCTTAAAGAAACCTGAGGTTAAAGGTTAAGCATGATGATGATGTTCTTTCATAGATAAGCAAAAATTGATAAATGGCTTCCCTAGAAAAGTTCAAGAAGATACGGAAGCTTGCAGCACTTTTATTAAATCTCTCACTTGTAGCAAGACAGCGGGGTTGAATTGTTGGCAAGTTGCGCCATTGGATGCGGCACCATTAATGCATGCACAAATTGATTGCATGCATTGCGCGCCACCATTATTAAAACCATTACACTGTGGTGATGTTTGACAAGAAGTTCCCGGGATATGATCATACATTTTCACTGATGCTAAATCAAGTTTTAAGTATCAAAAAGATTTCCCGCTATATCCGGAAATAAGAATTGGTATCCGGCAAGAGTTGTTATCAAAAAAAAGAGCAGCAAAATGTGGATAAAAATTGATGTAATGTATACGAAAAAGCATACGATAGTTAGTAAAAAAAAGTACCTGAGGTGCAACATGTACCCATAGTGCATGAAGTTTGTGGTGGACAGTTATTGGTTGATGCACATTGACAAATTGCATTTTGATTTGATGGACATACCGGTTCCAACGATAACAGACAGCATGCTCCCGCTGCAGTGCAACCAAATCCAGGTGGACAGTCAATACCGCGATTGCATCGTTGATATGCACGAGCACCACTCGGGCAGAGCGGTAACGGTTCCAAACAGCATCCACGTCCTGTATCATGTAATGTAGGTTGCAATGGGATAAGTTACTTAACCCAAATTACTTATCACAGGATAAGTTAACTTATGAATCCATCAGTCTAAATGTCGATAAATGGAATAACTAAGATATTTTACATTCAGTTCCTGATGTGAAAATATGAAAATACATCGCCGTAAAAACATTATTCTGCAAGAAGAAGAAGCAATAAGGTTCAGCGGAAAAAATGAATAGATAACCTTCGCATATATAACCTATCGGGCAATTGTTACCATTAGCGCATAGTTGAATAGCAACCTGTCCATTAGAGCATACAGGTAATGGACAGCATATTCCATTCTCGCATATCTGAAATAATCGTTTATCCCGCATGTTGCAGGATTCCCTAAATGTAAAATTTGAAATTTGTCAGAAGGCAAAAAAAGTTCTTAAATATGTGATGATCGAAATATTAGGATTTACAATGATAGAAAAAGTATAAAAAAGTAGTTTTGCATTCACCTCCCAGATACGTTGGGATAATCAGCGAATAAGGTAACAGTTGTTGAATTTTCATTATGCCGTTAACTGCAAAAGAAAGATACCTGCCCAGTGGAACAAGAATTTCCCTGGCATCGTCCGGAAGATTGAGCACCGGATAGACACATTGGCAATGGGCAGCAACCACCATTGTCACATTCCATACCTTCGGGACAAATGTTTCCAACTCCACACATTGTCGCTGATAGAATTCCGTTTGAACAAGCCGGCAACGGACAGCATACACCATTGACACACTGCTGACCTGCCGGACAACAACATCCACCGGTTAGACATCTGAATATCAGAGTAAGCTAGCAACTGTGAATATATTAAAAATATTTCCATATTGAAGAACATGGCACACTTGCCGTTGTGATCCAATCTGATTATTGGGACAAAGAGGATGTGGACAGCAACCGCCGTTAGCGCATTCGAAACCATTTCTGCATTCGGCATTGGATACACAGATCCGTAGGGCGATAACACCTGAGGAACAGCGTGGCGCAGGACAGCACAAACCGTTGGCACAGATTGATGTGCTGGGACAACCCATACCTGATGGACAACGACCTATTGCCTGAATCATTACTTCAATGGTCGAAAATTTCCAAAAGAAGATACTGAGATGAAATAATTGAAGATAAAATGAAATGATTAATGATCTACAGGCCAAAAATCAAGAGTCTTTTCATTGTCATGTAGCTATTTTAGGGGGTAGCAAAAATTTCATATCAAAAACTACCTGCATTCCGGTAGGACAAAATGGTATTGGACAACAGCCACCACTAGAGCATTCCATTCCTGGACCGCACTCCTGTAATAAATTCATTTTTTAACAGCTCTTCTAAATAAAATGAAAACGGTACTGAATATAATATCGGAAACATTTTTAGGATAACAATTTAAAAGAATGAAACTACACGAAAGTTAAAAAACGACCTGATCAACAGCACATCTTGAAGTAGCTGTAATACCACTTCGGCAAATTGGCATACGAATTGGCTCAGGCTGTTGACAACAACATCCCGATATGCAACTAGCCTAAAAAGGCAAATTAAAGCATTCAAACGTATTCTGTGCATGACATCGACAATGCAAATGAGTGTAATGAAATTTATACACGTCTTGAAGGTTTAGATATGCCTTGATGTATGAGATGCTTTACCTGTTGTGAGCAGGATAATGTTACTGAAGCTGTTTGACTACAGAATCCTGTGGCATCTTGACCACTGGGACAAACCAATGGACAGCATACACCGCGATAACAACCACTATTCGCTGGGCATTGTTCCATAAAACCGCAAGGTTGAGTTCCAGGGAAACCGTCTTAAATTGGACATCAAAGTTCAGGACGTATCCATTTTGTTTATCGTAAATGGGTTAAATTAATTTGTCAGATTTTCAATAAACTCACTCGGACACATAATGACAATTTGTTGTTGTTGAACAATTTGGAATGAATTTTGTTGCACCACCGGTACCGGTGTTTGCAATTGTTGCTGAATAATCGAAATGGGTAAAGGTTGCACCAGCGGTATCGGTTCTGTCATGATACCGCAACAGAAACCACTAATTGCGTAACATATCGTTCTAGGTGGACAAGATTGCGCTGGTGAACAAGCAGCTACAGGTGGTCCCATATTAGGAGGACATACTTCTAAAATATTTGCACCATTTCTAACATTTAAAAATTGATGAATGGATATAAATGAAAGATTAAATTTTTAAATTTCAAACTCTAATTAACATTTAAAATTCTTAAAAAAAGGAAAAGAAATTTTAATCAATCGATTGAATTAGCATTATTTCGTTTAAAATTAAGATTTTCTTTGTCATTTAAATTTCGATCATAAAAATTTTCTTCTCCGTTTATCACAGAATTTATTATTAAATCTTATTTCAATTATATAAAGAATCTCTTTTTTTAAAATTTCTTCTTTCATTTTATTTATAATTATTTCATCTGTCTTCCACAAACTATAAGAATTGAAAAAACTTATGAGAAAATTATATTTCTCAAATGGCTTATTCACTGTTACTGTATGCTTTATTAATTGAACTTTAAACCTGTATGCTTTATTAATTGAACTTTAAACCTGTATGCTTTATTAATTGAACTTTAAAGTCTTTAGGATAAACTTAGTTTATAGACTTATAAATATATCTTCCTCTGATCACTGCTTTATAACATTCGTTTTACTTCGTTACTATTAAGTGACTGCTATGATTTTGATTAAGATTGAAATAAAAAATGGGGAAGTACTACTGTTAATAAAATTTCTTCCTTCAATTATAATATTTATATACTAGATGATTTTTGGCGGAATGTAAGTATAAGATTTAAATTTGGTTAGATTTTTCAAATTTACGCATCTGAACTAAATGTTCATTAGCATTGTTATTTATGTTTAATTCGATGTTTGAATGTATTATATACGAAAGATCTGACGAAGTGAAAGATCATTTATGACAGGTACAGATAATGGTAATGATGGTTCATAACCAGTTTGTTGATTCGGTATTGGTTGACAACAAACTTGATATTCCTGAAATATTTTACGAAATTAACAGAGCAAAGAAAAACTAAGATTAAAAAAAATAAATATAACTATAAAAAAAGTAAGAAGCTGAGCCATTCTTATTAATTTTCTAAAAAAATGAAGTAGACAAACCTCAGTACAACGAGAACTTCCAGGACACATACTGGTAAATGACTGTTGAGCACATCGACTAACCGGTAATGAACCTATTGGACAACCCATCAAATGATCAAATGCGCAAATTTGCAATCGTGCATCAAACGTCGTCCCTTCACTACACTTCCTAGGTGTCCATATACCGCATGACCTGTAACCTTTCTATATTGTTATGATCTAATAAATTCAATTAACTTGTTGAAAAAAAGTAGTATAAAATAATTCTTTAATGACCTTAATATTAGGAGATTTTTTCCAGAAATTCGAATGTATTTAGATGTAAATAACAATTATCGCATATGACAATCGCCCTCATTTTAAGCCAAACAGCTTCATTGATGAAGTACTCCTTTCCAGAGGCGCCACTATTTAAATCATCGATTTTTCGTGATATCTTGACTTTTAATCATTCCCTCTTCCTGCTCCTATAAAATACATTTGATATCTACCTGGTTTGCTGTGGAATGCATTGTAGGAAAACAGCATTGTTGGCAGTATCAAGTTGCAATGTAGATGATAACCAATCACAAGATTCTCTTGGTACTGCTGCTATATTTGTCACTAAATTTTTCTTCGATCAATTGGGATAAGAAATTTTATAAAATAAGAATTTTTTTCTAGCAAATAAATATAGTGCTAATTATAATTTTCCTATACAAAAATCCAACTTTATCAAAATTACCCTTTTTATTAATTCTCACTTCTAAATCCTCAAGCAGATGATAATGAATGATCTCTTTTTGACTATTAATGAATAAGAAAAATTCAACTAAAAAATATGATTCAGATCATCGCAGACGGTCTTTCAATGAATTCAATTTTACCGATAAACCGAATATCATATTGCTCAATTCCTTCATGAGACTTATTGATACAATCGAAACTTAGTAGCGATAACCTTGGCAAGATTTTTCACATCCTTTAGCAGCAGGGTTTTGTTGACAGTTCGGTTGTTGCCTACGCAATTTATTTTTTTCAGTGCAACCTTGCTTAATGTAATCAAATTGATGCTCTCCTGGACAAGTTTGTTTTTTCCATGTTCCGATTTTATTGTCAACCATAAAATAACTTTCAATCTGCAATATGTGTACCATCTAACCGAATAGAAGTACAAATGTAAATTTACAGAGATGTCATTACTATGATAGTGTGCCATAGCAGAATCTTATCTAATGTTTCCAATTGCTTTAATACAAATAATTATACGAACTTCTTGGTCACTAAGCGGAATGCATTGATAAAATGATTGTGGATTATCAGCAGCTCGGATATGCTCAACAATCATACATAAATTATTCTCCATCGGTACATTTTCATTGCCTGCAACAATTTTTTTCGAAAGAAAACAAATTGCAAAACTGAACAGATTTTTTCTAATTCATAAATTTTAAAATTTAATGAAGGATGGAAACTATTGCAAGCAGTGATAGAAGAAACATCGTGCATATTTATTAATATGCCTTGACTAAAATGGGTAACTTACCACTTACAAAATGTAGTATGAGAAAAAGTATTTTGTAACTCATAGATATTGAAGAGAGCTAATGCTGGCAAACAAAAAAATTGATAATAGTAGTAATAGCAGTATTAATAGTAATAACAGTAATATTGGTAATGGTAATCTGTGATACCACTATAGCCAACAGTGCTATGAACAGCACTTTTATTAATTGAGTCGTGCAGTACGACCACAGGTAACGGTCAAATTTTCACCGGGTTTCGAATGAGATCGAAATCCTAGTAAGAATAACTCATCTTTAAATGTTTGCTTGAAAAGTATACCATTAACATCAAACTAGTTCGCACGTTGTGGTCAGAAGTTGATTCCACCGATGTTATCTTAAAATCTAGTTTATTGTAACTGTCTAAATCCCGATCTTGCTACACTTCTTTTTTCGTCTTGTCATTTGAGCACCTCTTCAACAATAACAATTCCAATGTATACTCCATAAATGCATAAATACACACCGTTCTTTGCCCTCTTATAATCATTTGCAATGAATGTTTCCCCATTACGACAGCAATTTAGTTTATCGTATATAGCTCCAAGATACAGTTTGACCAATGAGTTTGCATCTGTACCTCTGCAGAATTAAATTACGAAAAATAAAAAAGCACAAAATGTACTCTGAAAACATCACTGCTTTTAAACTAATGGTTACAAGAAAACAATGTACAAAACAAGAATACAAGAAAATAATGTACAAAACAAGAAACAACATTACAATCATAATACATATTACAATTTACAATCACTACGGTTTACGATGTTTAATATGCCATTCCAAGATATATTCCGACACTTTCCATACAAGGGAAGTCTATTTTGTCCGAACCTTTGTTCATACATCAGAATTTCGCTGAATTGGTTGTAATACATCGTTGTTTCAGTCATTCATACCACTTTTTCTGTAAAATAAAAACAAGCAGTAATAATATCAAATGACAATTCAAAATATTAATAAAGGAAAACGGGAAAAAAATAAAGGAAAACGGAATTATTCAGATAAGCGTTCGTTATAAAATCAGCATAAAAATTTGAGGCAAGTCTATCTTTAGATAGCGATCTATCACTTCTTACATATGTTATGTGATATAAAAGACTAAGGTTTGAAAAGTATCTCCATGAAGATAAAGTCAGCTGAGCACCAAGTGAGTGGAAATAATCTAGGAAAATGCTGAATTCGTAAACACTAAAAGATTTGTCACCATTCTTTCAGATGGACTAAAATTTTCAAGTCGAAATAACTATAAACTTATAGCAGCACATTTATTGGTTTTTATCCTCGTCCTTACACCTCTTCGATCTTTGGAACAGTAAAAAAAGATAAACGTTGCATTCAATTTAATTCATCCAGTCACTCACGTAACTTTTTCGTAATGACCACATGGAAGTGATTTTCGTTCAAATGATGTACCAGTATATTTTTCCAAATTATCATCAATTTTTCGAGTAGTAGGACAAAAGTTAAGGAAAAAGAACTGACCACATGAAAGTGATGTTGAATATAGTCAAAATGCCGGATGCTTTTGAATTATTTGTTCGAGCCGGGTGTTGAACAGTTCATTGCTCGACTGCGCATTACTTTCAATTAGGACATTTTTTATCACTGCATCAACATATGCCTCAATTTGCATATTCATGACTTCAATTTTATATTTATATTTTCTTTTTTTTCTGAACCAGACGACAAAATAATTTGCTTCTGGCGCTTGCAATTTCAATCAAGATATAAGAAAATGCTGCAAAAGAATACCATATCTTCGATTGGTTAAACGGAGTAAGTGAAAATACAAATATACATGTCGATTACCTGGTAAATGCTACGCATAAGTTCTGGAATTCCAGTTGCATTTGGATCTGTATTGAGAACCATTTTCAATCCAGTGGGTGTTTCCAAATAATTTAACTTATATTGGGTAGTTTCAAAACTATTCACTTGTTGAATTCTAAAATATCTTTTACTCATTTTAAAATTCTGAAATAAAAATAATTTTTCACATGACTATTTATATTTCCTTCCCTTATTTCACTATCATCACGTTTATATGGCTAAATAAAATGAAGATTAAAAGGAAAGTAATCCCGACAATGTGCATGATGTATCTGTATATACAAATGATAAAATATAGATGAAATCTAGGAACTAACCCAGACGCTGTTGAAAGTTTCAAAGCGAATGAACGTAACGATAACAGCATCCCATACATCAACTTTAGTTCCTATAACTTTTTTCGTTTTACAAGCCACAGTCACACTTCAATATAATTTCACTAAATTTAAGGAAAAATATCACGACCTGTTCCATTGACATTACCGCCTTCTTTTCTCGTTTCCACTCTCTGTACAGAACGCATGTGCCATCTCGATTAAACAAATAGAAATTGAATATCGTCATTTTAACTCGAAACACTTCCGAAAGATGGTTATCTTCGATGGAAACGAAAAAGAAATACAACGATAAAGCGTATTGTATACAATACTGCTTCGCTATGGCATGAAATCATGCCTCTTCCCATAGCATGGGCAAATTTATCTATTGCTTGAAGTGGATAAATTTGCACGTCATGTTACTCTTCTGATAATCAGATGCTCATGCATCACAATGTTCGATTTATTCACTGCATGAGTAACTCTGTTCGTTTTTTATTCTTCGCAAAATGGACAGAGCCGTTTATTTGCTGCATATTAACAATATCATTCTCATCCTAAACATTGCTGGAAGTGCCATTTATCTTACTCACGTGGAAATTTGCCATTGCTTAGCTGTCTGAGGTATGGGCAACACTATTTGTCACATGATCGAAACAAGAGAACAACTGGTAAGATTTCCATTCGTTCTTTCTGAATTAAACTTTATAAAGTTTCTCAATATCTGTTCCTCTCCAACCGCTCTGCTCTCTCGTTAGTAATCTTAATATATCTAAAGTATGAGCACTATCGTTTTCGTCAGTTACTTCTTTTCCACCATAACTTTAATTAAAAAAACAGTCCCGCAAAACAAAAATTTTAGAACTATGAATGGGCCAGGAAATACCATACGGCCCTTGCAACCGAAATAATAAGGAATTTTTCCGGAATTGTTTACGTTCCAGCTACATGCTTATTCAGAGTTGAACTGAATTGAACAGAGTTGAATTCAGAGCTAGCTGTGCGCTATACTGGCAATAATCAGTTTTAATGCTTCACTAAAATTGATCAAATAACCATTGGATTTAGTGAGTGAATTAAATGGTCTTTTGCTTCAATAAAATCAGCCAAATGACCCTTATCTTTAGTAATATTAATTTTATTAATTTTTAGTCTCATTAACTTTCTCGAGTATATCTGCACCGATGCACTAAAAAGCCAAGTCGGACAGCCTCCATATTTAAATTAAAGCACTGAGAACCAGTTCCCAAATTTGCAGGAATATTATCGGAAGCTGTTCATAATTTTGAATTATAAATTGGCTGCATCCGTTCAATGCTTTTACCAACAAATGTTAAGTAATTAGCAACGTTTGATTTTGAAATCTGATCAAATACTATTTCGAAATGGCAAAAATACATCGGTGTGGTCAATGATCAATGGTCAGTCTCTCATTTTCTGCAGTAAGAGAAGTTAGATATATGCAAACGCTATGGTCACCATCGTTTCATTGTTACTCAGTGTCATAACCTTGTAATTGTATGACCTGTTGTTGCTATCATTCTATGTTATGGACAGTAATATACTACGCATTTCTTATTTCTTATTCCTAAAATTTTTCGCTTCTTGGAAAAGATTTCGGATGATCAACGGTTCAGTATGCTCATTTTAAGCAGATTTCAAATATATATACAATTCAAAATCAAACTTAGTACATCCGAAATCTTCCTTATATAAGTAACTACTGCCGTCATATTTATCTTAGATCTTATTTTAGCTCATCAGCTAGTGAAATCTTTTGTATTGTCTTCTCAGATTTCATTTTGGATTTTCAAGAATTGGAATTTTATTGGAACTTAAGAAGCTAATTTCCTGTTTTCGTCTCCTTTTTTCTGTTTGCTTGTTGCATTTATATTTCTCACCATCGTCTAAAAAAACCCACCAAAATTTTTCATCATCCTATTAACTTTCGGCAAAGTATGCGGAAGACGAATGGTTGCGAAATTCATCGTTCATAAAATGACTGTAGGGGATCTGACCTCTCTCCTAGTGATGTCCGGTATAGCGAAGTATCCAGTGCAGGCGGTCCTCTTGTTACAATGTGATATGACGTGCCATCATCATGCTTCTATCATTTCTCTTTCTCTTTGGAATACTATTGGTTGGTTATGTGCGAAAGCTTGCATTGGACATAACATAGTTATGACCTCCTGACTTGCTTTTGGATATTAGAACAAAGTACACACGACAAGGTCGAATGCACGCTCCTTCCACTGAAGTTATTTTTCTTAGATACTTCTCGCGATAGAGTGTGTACCCAAAGGACATCTCTCTACACCTCAGGTACCGCCTTCCCCCTCACTCCTTTTTTTCTCTTACCATCTTCCTCCGTCCGGCGAATGCTATATGCTATATTGTTTCTCATCACAAGTACCATTGTTGCCCATGAACGCAACGGTCATTGATTTAATCCAGAAGGGAGGGTCATCCAGAAGGGAGGGCCAGCAGCGAGAGAGCGATAACTCTGATCACTTTGACCTTTCCAGTAATCGAAGCATCTCCCTGCGCAGTAACACTTTCCAAGATGTTTTCTTTCCCATTACATTTGGCCAAACTTTGGTCAGTTTTTGTATAGATTGTCGGACTTATCGAGATGCCCTTCAGTGTAACCATTAGGAAGTGTCTATATGTGGACATTACTTTGTTCTTTCTTTCCAATAACGTTATTTCCGACAGAAACTTCTACTTCTTACAGCCTGAACTTATGAACTTACCTTTCATAATGAAATAAAACGCTGCTGTAATAAGAAAATCCCTATGTTTATTGGACTTTTGCTACGTTCACATGACTTACTTATCTTCTTCATCTGTCTTATCGTTATTCACGTGTTTATGCTTGAGATAACTGATTGCTATTCACTATATTCCCCAATTTTGTAGTTATCTGTTAACCATTAAACCCTGCATAATTCCGTTCCCGATTCGCTGCGTTCTGTGTGTCCCGCTACTCCTCGCTGTTGTATCGCTGCACTCCACCACTGTATTGTCGTACTGCTAACACACTGCACTCTTATCTCTTGTACTTCCGATAATTTGTTGATTGGCTTCCTGAACTTCTCCCTGCGTCTCTCTTCTGTTGGCCATGTTTTCCATTATGAACAGATTGTTTACTAATACCTGTGGTTCTCCTTCCCTTGCATGATCTCTCTCCGTACTCCTTCCTTCTCTGCCGCACCATCCACGAATACATTGTTTCTTATGTCACTGTTTCTATCACTGTCATCCTGCTTTATTCTTTCCTCGTCCTCCTTTGTTCCTCCACTGTGCATTCTCCCTCTGACCTTCCCCTGCATGTTGTGACATGCGTTACGGTTGCGATGCGTCGGGCGCGTGCGCCTCTGTCGCATTACATGAGATGTTGAGAGGTGGAGCAGATGGTTGCGTGTGGCTAGTTTACAAGGAAGAAGGGTTTCTGGGTCGTCGTGTTGTCGCTATTTGAGTGTGTGGCGAATCACCGAACATCCTTGTGCATCCATCCAATGCCGCGGAATGGCGGGAGAATTGTTTCACTTTAGGAGTTTTATCGCAGCCTGAAGTAATAATAAAGTGATGTCGAAATTCTAATTGTGAAGATATCATATCGCAAATATCCAAACTAAACGAATTTGATGGGCGAGTAGACAAATAAAAGTAGTTTTCACGATTGGCAGAGTGGACTTTTTCACTATCTGTACGCACAAATGAAAATATACTATGTTTGCCAGTGTTGTGAACGAGGTATTTGTTAGGGGATCAGGCAAATATATACAACTGAGTGCACATCAAAAGTATCAAGGATTTCTAAGCATAATGCTTATATTTCACCATTTGAATTAGCAGAAAAATGTTGTTAGGTGGCTAAATGATAGAACGAGTTTCACTTTATCGTTTCAGCATCCTGTTAATTTTTAACTTTTTAGGAGCTTATGCAGACACGCTACGTGCAACATAGCTGCGTGAGCCATCTTTATGCATTATTGTGAATGATATCGTTGCATTATTAGTTTCATCGTTCTTTCATATTTGATCTCTGGAGCATTATTAATAACAGTAAGGTAAGGATTGTTTTCTTCAAAAAATTTTTCGAATGGATTCGATCTTATTGTTACATCAATGCTGATTTTTCGAAAATTCCATGATTCACATTCTTTATTGAAACGGAGACAGCTATCCAAAATTGCTGAGCACATGAGCATATTGGAGTAGGTAGAATTTAAAATGCATGGAATTTGCTTTAAACTGCATGGAAATTGTATACAGGATAAATATAGGGATATAGGTCAAGCGGTAGATCTTGTTCTCTCAGTCGTTAGTTTATAAAGCTACAAAACGCAAGAGTGTAATTTGCTACTTTTATTTACTATCGGTTACCAAGTTGTATATTTAAGATGTCCAATTCGTGAATTTTTTTCAGCCTTATCGATAGCAATCCAAGTGTTTAGGCATAGTGCAATTGAAAACAAAAAATGGCAGCAATTGATCAGCAACAGCAACAAGTTCTGAGTTTGTTGGGTCAATTTTTCATTACATTCTTTTTAAAAGTCACAAGGGGTATATCGATAAATTGCATTCCTTTTTGGTAATTTTCTACGTCCATGGTTTGAGACCCGTAATCAATAGATTGATTCATTCATGCTCATACTGAGCTCACTATGTCTAAATTGATTCTCAAAGGGTTAACTTGCATGTGGTAATGTTTATGATATTATAGAAGCGTTTAATTTTGGTGATCGGCAGGGCACATCGGCCTCTGGTATGGCACCATATCAGCCATTTCTGCAGCAAGTACCAAATCTTTTGGGGAATCCTCAGTTTCCTCAAGCTGGAAGTAGCCAGTATCATATCTCACAACAACAGCAACAAGCAGCTTTGCAAGCACCTCTTCAGGTTATTCATTTTTGATTTTTGCTGAGTGAAATTAGATATCAAGTCTTACTAACTATCACTTAATTAATGGACAGCCAGCGCTTAGTTAGCGCAGTGCGAATATCATTCACTGCTCACAACACATTTCTTATCATTTTTCAGGATGCTTACCAATTAGCTCCGATCAATCCTGCCCCGGTTCAAATGATGCTTGGTGGTAGTGGTGGAGCGCCGTCGTTCGATAGTCGTCCTCCTGGATCTTTAGCTCCTGGTGGACCAGTAGGAGGTGCTGACGGCTCGGAAGCAGCTCTGCCTCCACCAGCTAATGTGCCGCTACAGCGTCCTCCAGGACAGTCATCTGGTGGGTATTATTTAGAATTTTTTTGGGTTTTTTTTCAGTGGTGTTAATGACGGTCTCGGTTAGGATTTTTCGGAAGGGACTGATAATGCTTCCAAATTCATGTTCACCAAGATAAGAAAGATGTGGATATTTTTTTTGGCTGATATTGATTATCCGCAAGATTGTATATTTCTTCAGGGCCTTTACAATTTCAATGTCCTCGCAGACCTAATCATGGTATAGAAGGACGCGCAATTGTTTTACGTGCAAATCACTTTGCTGTTCGCATACCAGGAGGAAATATCCAACACTATTCTATTGACGTACAGCCAGATAAGTGCCCACGTCGAGTTAACAGGTTCTTCCCTTGTTCCTTTTGATGATTTGGAATTTGTTATTCTCACTATAGATTGCATTTTAATTACACCATTTCAGAGAAATTGTGAATACCATGATTCGTGCGTACCAAAAGGTGTTCAGCAATGTCCGTCCAGTATATGACGGAAAACGTAATATGTATACTCGAGATCCACTGCCAATTGGACGTGAGCGATTGGAGTTGGAGGTTACATTACCAGGAGATTCTGCCGTTGATCGACAATTTACTGTTGCCATTAAATGGGTTTCCACGGTATTTGGTTTTCATCAATTTTTCGTTCAATCTCTGGATATTATAAAGTGTTAAGGCTGAAAGGAGTGGTTTTTTTTCAGGTTTCATTGTCAGCTCTGGAAGATGCAATGGAGGGACGAGTCCGTCAAGTGCCTTTCGAATCTGTACAGGCAATGGATGTGATTTTACGACATTTACCTAGTTTAAAGTATGTATCATAGGTTTTCCGGTGAAATTTGCGCAAATATAAATAAGACATATAAAGAACTCCCCATCTACAATCGGGGAGTTCTCTATATGTCTTACATTGTGATGTTATATTTTGAGATAAATATCTCGAAATGTAATTGAATTAAATTTTAGATATACTCCTGTTGGACGATCATTTTTCTCGCCGCCATTAGGCTCAGCACACGGTCCATCACATTCAGCGCAACAGTACCATACGGAAAGTAAACTCGGTGGCGGTCGGGAAGTTTGGTTCGGTTTCCATCAGAGTGTGCGGCCAAGCCAATGGAAAATGATGCTCAATATTGATGGTTGGTTTTTAGAGCTTTGTCTTTAATATGATAGAACTTTTATTCCTTGACTGATTAGAATTTCTTTTATGCATAAAACAGATGCTTTGTATGGAGAAAAGTTAATACTATATTCCTTCTCTGTTTTAGAGATAGGTACTGCAGAATAAGTGATCTGTTAGATATGTTAGCTATATATTTTTTAATGGCTGCAAAGGAAAATGTGGGCATGTTGATGGGAACATCTCCACGGGTTTTTTAATGCAATTTATGAAGAAATTGAGAAGGATAAAATCTTTAATTTTTGCAACAGGTGATTTGTTGGCTATTGATCGGATTATAAGGGTATTACTGCTTTATCGGTTTTAATTGTATGCTTTAGTTTCGGCAACTGCATTTTATCGCTCAATGCCGGTGATCGAATTTATTGCGGAGGTGTTGGAGGTACCGGTGCAAGCATTATCCGATCGCCGTTCACTGTCAGATGCTCAGCGTGTTAAATTCACTAAGGAAATACGTGGTCTGAAAATTGAAATAACTCACTGTGGTTCTATGCGGCGTAAATACCGAGTGTGTAATGTTACTCGAAGAGCAGCCCAAGTACAAACGTTAGTTCATTACCCACATTTTAGGTTGAAAACAGATGCTGGCAAATAATGTTTACATATGTCCCTACTACATAATGGTTTATTGCCCTGATCAAATATTGTGTGATTGAAATCTGAATGTGAGCTATAGTATTTTGGTATATTGTAGCGCAGTTGTACATGCGATATTAATCTATCTGATTATGGCTTTCTTAAAAAATTTGCATGATATTATGCTTCTCTTTATTATGAGGGATTTCAAGGAAAAAATCTTATTTTTATCAGTTGTTTTCATTTACAGATTTCCTTTGCAACTAGATTCGGGACAAACTATTGATTGTACGGTTACCAAATACTTTTACGACAAATATCATATGCAACTGAAATATCCACATTTGCCATGCCTCCAAGTGGGTCAAGAGCAAAAACATACATATTTGCCGCCGGAAGTATGCAACATTGTTCCTGGCCAGCGTTGCATAAAGAAACTTACGGATACGCAAACCAGTACAATGATTAAGGTTGAAATTAATAAAGTTCTAGTATCAAATCTGTTAATGTGAATAAGATTTGAAAATCACAAAAATGACTGATAAGTAAATTGTAGGCAACAGCGAGGTCAGCACCAGAACGTGAGCGTGAGATATCAAATCTGGTTCGAAAAGCCGAATTCAATGCCGATCCATTTGCTCACGAATTTGGTATTGCAATAAATCCGGCAATGACAGAAGTAAGTTCGTCAGAATATTTAAGTGCTCGGTCGCATTTCGTAATGGTTTGCATTTTCATGTGAATATCATCTCAATATATGTTGGACTTCGCGATATTATAAAGCAGAGTTTTTCACCAAATAATGTACGAGGCTTGATTATTCACTTTAAAAATACTTTAAGGTAAAAGGTCGCGTACTTAATGCACCAAAACTGCTTTATGGTGGTCGTACGAAAGCGACAGCGCTACCGAACCAAGGTGTTTGGGATATGCGTGGAAAACAATTCCATACAGGCGTGGAAGTAAAAGTTTGGGCAATCGCATGTTTTGCGCAACAACAGCACGTTAAAGAAAATGATCTCCGGTTAGCAGACGTTTTTTTTCTTTCTGAGATGCAAGTGGGTTATAAATTCTTTACCGTTCATTTGGTATAGCTTATGACTCGAGGCTGCACTTCTCACTGTATTTTTCAGCAATTTCACTGCACAGCTGCAGAGGATCTCTAATGATGCGGGTATGCCAATCATGGGGCAGCCATGCTTCTGCAAATATGCAGTCGGTGTTGATCAGGTAGAACCAATGTTCAAATACCTCAAAACATCATTCGTAAATATTCAACTTGTTTGCGTTGTCCTGCCCGGAAAAACACCAGTATACGGTAATTTATTTAATTTGTTTCCTTTCTGGAAGCAGAACTTGTTCTTCTCTTGTATACTCTAAAGCAAATAGTTTGATA